CCCAATCTGGATCTCTTCCAAATGCATTGGCTAGGAAACCAGGAAATTGAAATCCAACCCAACTTGAAGGCGCCAGGTTGTGAAGGCTGATGAAAACCTTGAAAACCAACAGTTTTGCAATCTTGCAATGTGAACCGTATGTCCTTTGACAGCAAATGAACAATCCACCTCTCTCACCTATGGCTTCCTTTGCAACCTAAAATATTACAGCAGTCCATTTTATGTGAACACCAATTCAAGCAACACAGTGCATTCAGTTTTCAGTTTTGTGAATTCTAGGTTCTTCTGTTTCAGAAGTGCATGACTTTGGTTCCTATCAAATTGCAATTTTCAATGTGACAGGAGAAAATGATTAAATATGTAGATAGTAACTGGGTTGGCCAATTTTAATTACAAATTAAATAAAATCCAATCTAGTTTTATATTCTGGACCCAGCCCCTTTTCTCCCAGCATGTCACTCGTGGTCAAGGGGAGCTCTCAGTTGGAATCAAGTTGGGCATCTATTTACATGATACAAGAGCATTAGACTTCAGCTAAGTGAAATCTTTGAAATTATTATTTTTTTTAAAAAAAAGTAGCAAATCAGTGGGTTAGGTTGGTATACAGTCACAACTAGAGGGTGGGTAAGTATGAATCTTTCCATCTAATATTGCTTTCCAGATCAAAACCCTTTCCTTGGGCCTCTAAGACAGATAACATGGGGAAAGGGTTACTTTTCTTAGGACTGTGGTGTCGTGCTTTTCCTGTGTCCCTTCACACAGTATTAGAAATCAGAGGGAGGATGGATGTGGGAATTGCTTAGTGCTTAGCTAAGTATAAAGTCTTGCTTTAGGGGATGAGGAAGGACACACCGACTAGAAGATCTGCAGGTTCTTTCTGCAGCTCTAAGAGCAGGACAGGACCTGAGGAAGAGTCCCAAAAGTCAAGTTGATGGTTGCGTGATTGAAGCCCTGCCCCCTTTTAATGTGCAAGGCATGTGCAACTCACATACAAAGGGGGCAGAGCTTCAATTCTATGCATGTGGCAGCCATATTGACTTTTTTTTTTTTGAATTCCCCCCTCCTGAGGATGCTCTTGGATCAGGACATTAGATATTTGGTGGGGACCTTGAGCTCCCCGATCATTCTTGAGGAAATCTCCCAAGGGCTTGACTTAAAGATGGCAACCAAGCCAGATGCAGAACAGAATCCCATGGCATTTTTTTGCTGCGTAAACAGACTTGCTCCATGTCTAGATATGCAGCTTGGCTTGTGTGCTGGTGCTGCTGCTGTGAAACTAACCCTGGGAACGGATGGCTGGGTTTACGCTTAGAGTGAAGAAAATCTGCCAAATTAAAAGGTTAGAAGGGGCTGCTGATTGCTCTGCGCAGGCTGAATTGCAAATCAGATGGAGTGTTTTTTTCTTAGAAATCTGCCACTTCAGATTCTGAGGGAAGAGCATCTCTTGTGGAGAAACACAGCAGCAGACTTGGTTTATTATTTAGGAAAGCCGCAGAGGTAGGCGACAACAGAAGTAAACGCGGCCATGCCCTTTCCTCTTAGGAGCGCAGATGCTCCACGTTTGTATTTATAAGAACCTGCCAGCTTTGTGTCCTTCTCTGTACAATGGCTGCATAAAGACAGGAGGTTAAAACAAAACCAAAAAAAAAAAAAAATCCCCTTTCAGTTTATGCCTTTTATGGTGATCAAAAAGGGATCACGTCAAACCTTTTTTCTCCTCCAGTCTTGTTAACTTTGAACATGCAGTCAGCAGCACCAAGATGTAAAGTGATACTACAAATTACTTATACAGCCCATTAAGTTCCAACAATATTTATAATTTGATATATTAAACAATAAGTGCCAAATGGTAATAAAACATTAACTATATTGGGGGGGGGAGAGAGTTATACTTTGTTGTTGAGATTGAGAAGACTGGACGCTACTGGAAAGGCTACAGTGCTGCTGCTTTTAGAAAGGAGATATCCCGGTCTCTCAGCATCTGGGGCTCACTCCTCCCTATCCAGGCAGGGCAGTTGACCTTCACTGAGCCCCAAGACCAAGATCAGGCTGGGGCTGGTACGTTTGCAGCTGTCAACCAGCAAACAGAAAAACTGGGGAGGGGGCTCAGTTCGTGACTGGAGAACCAACTGCAGCTCCTTTAAGTCACAGGCACATCACTGGAAAAAAACACAGCCACAGAGCCATGTGGTCTTAAGACCACCGTGACGCTTAGAGTTTGTCCAGTGGTCATCAAGAACAGCCACATCCTCCAGGCCCTGGAAATTTTCCCATATAATCTTACTTGTACACTACCTAGGGCTATATTCTGTAATAAGATTACAAATTATCCTGAGGTTCTATGTTTTAAATCTGGTTTGTTATATAAAATGGATTTCAATATATAATTTTTTTAAAAAAAGAAAGATTTGGTTAATTGTCATAGGGCCTAGCCAACGTAGGACGATCTTAAACAATTTAGGCAGAGCTGGACCTGGCTAATACTTGGAAAGACTAGGTTTGCAGGCTAAACTGGAAAGCTAAAATAATCCCGGAAAAAAGCAATGGCAAACGCTTTTTATATGGTTCTATGGCTGCTTTTTTTTTTTCTTTCGCTGCTCCTCTTATCAAGTGATGACCTGCTAAGGTACCCAGATGATTATTTTATTTTTCATTCTGTTATTATTGTCTAAATTTTTTAAAAAAGGTTTAAACACAGTTAAGTATTTCCACATTTTGGATCTTACTCGGTTTTTTAGATGTGGACCCAGTAAGAAGAAAAATTCAACTGATCTAACAAATACTGGAAAAGAAAACATATAGAAAGGTAGTTACATCAAGTCAAAATAGCCTTATGAATGTGCAGAATTCTGCTTTGGATTCCAACTTTCGTAAGTGGATGTGCTTGTTGCATTCTTTAACAAGAAAACCAGTCTTTTCATTCTGGGGGCAATGAGGGGAAGGAACTACTAATTAATAAAAAATTGTTCTGCATATACAGACCGGCTATAATATAATAGCTAAAGGATAGTTGAAGGGAGGCAATACTCTACAGAATTCATGGAACCTCCTTTAAGTTTTCTGATTTAAAGCATGTTACTATTCCAAAAATGCTAGCTGGCTTTAGACTAACCATCTGGAGTCTGGAGATTTCAAATACAGGTAGTCCTTGTTTAGCAACCACAATTGGGACCAGCTACTCAGTTGTTAAAGGAAACAGTCACTAAGTGAAACCACAACTGTGCTTACGATCTTACTTCAGCTTTCCTTTGCTTTACAGACCTGCGAAGGTTGTAAATGTGAGGACTGGTCGTAAAGTTACTTTGTCATCACTGTTGTAACTGCGAATGAGGCAGTAGCTAAACCAGGACTATGTGTATGTTGTAGAATCTCTACTGGCTAACCGGGAAGTCTGGGAGTAATAGTCCAACATATCTGAAGCCCAGCAGCTTGAAAAAAATTACTATGCCTCATTCCCATTCAATACCATCAGAATATTATAACAGGGGTCTCTTGTAAAGGTCAGTGAGATCAAATAGGTGAAATATGCTGAATACTCTAACGCAGTGTTTCTCAACTTTGGCAACTTTAAGACCTATGGACTTCAACTCCCAGAAATCCCCAGCCAGCAAGTTGCCAAGATTGAGAAACACTGCTCTAAAGCAAAGTATCTTAGACTCCTCTCAGACTCATTCCTTCCCTGTACAGGCAATGCAGATCAGAGAGGTAGGTATGGTGGAGGAGACACCCTACAACTGAAAATAATTTAATTATTATTCTTCTGTCTATAACACCATAATAAACAGTAATCTAAAAATGGAACAATTAGGAGAAATTGTTAGCAAAAATTATTTCTTTTGGGGACCACTGGTGGCCCTAGGCACACAGGTTGTGCACTCTTCGAGCCTTATATAAGCCTTACCAATGAAACAAATTGTGTTGGAAGTTCAAAGCCCAACACATCTAGAAAATGGAGAAGGCTCCATTATGACTATGCTTTTACTATTACAATTTTGACTGTCTCCCTCTTCACAAAGCAGAGATTTGAATTTTTTTGTTGGGGTCCCATGGCCGAGGCATTAAAAAAAAAATCACAGAAGTCTAATAAAATCATGCACTTGAGTGCCAAAATCTCTCAAGATTTTGGTAAGATTATTGAGAGGGGGCAGGGATGTCTCTTGATGAGTGCAGCAGTATTACTTTACAGAAATCCACCAGTATGTGAAAACATAAGCTAACCAAAAGGAAAGCCTTAGGAATAGTCAAAATATATTACATTTCTAGGATGAAGGAATATCAAAAAGGCACACAATAAATAGTAACAAAACAACATATGAGAAAACCCATAAATGACAGCATTTGGAGGATCACAGAAAGATTAAAAAAGAAAAAAGATTGTTACTAAAGATTTGCCTTTTTCAAATGCATTTCAATCTACTCCATCATGCCAGGAAAGAACTGCTTCCATGACACATAAACACTTCCTTGGGGAAGGTGGTCCGCTCGTTTTCCCATTCTACCTTGCATTCAAATCCCTTCAAGCATTTGCCTACACGAGAAGTCAGACGAGCTGTGCCCACAGGCCCCAATCCTATGGTCACAATCACACTTGCATAAGCAGCTTCTCTGGAATGAAAAGCCAGCCCTATGTACTTATGACCATTCTAGGCTCTAAAGACCAAGCAAACTCATGGTCCTCTATAGTATGATACTGCAAATGCAAGGAGTAGGATTCTCTCTACAGGTAGTGCTCATTTAGCAACTGCCTCATTTAGCAACCGCCTCATTTAGCAACCGTTTGCAGTTACAACGGTGATGGAAAAGTAACTTTGTGACCAGTCCTCGCATTTACGACCTTTGCAGGTCTGTAAAGCAAAGGAAAGCTGAAGATCGTAAAATCATGTTTCACTTAGCGACTGGTTTGGTTAACCACCAAGCTGCTGGTCCCAATTGTGGTTGCTAAACAAGGACTACCTGTAAGGAACTTACCCCAGTGAGAGTCAAGATGCTGCAAGAGGACAGTAGCAGTAGCGGATTTAATATCTAAATATATAACCTTTGGAGAGCTGCTTTGGAACCAACTCAGTAAAAAGAAATATTTCTCCAATGGTTGATACTTATTGCTGCATGATATGATGACTTTCCAGAAGTTTAAACCAATTGTGGGTGGTGCCTATTCAACCCTTACGCCTATGTGCAGCATACAGTTTGGGGGGATTAATAGTGGAAAAGGGTTCCATCATAGCCAAGTTCTAAAAACAAGTTCAAAAGAATAGCTGTCATACGACGGAAACCCCTGCATCTTGACATACAGATGAAGTGGAGTACAAACCCTACAAGTTACAAAATAGCATGATGAATGAACTAGATAGCCAGTGATATGCCCCACAGTTTTTTGTAGGCACTTGCATGACTTATATCACTGTGGTTTCTGTCTGGGAAGAAAACTGAGTGGCCGAATTGCGATGCAAATGGGAGATGGTTTCTGAGCCATTTCGAGAAACAGAAGAGCTGTGAAGTTTGTAATCGCGGCCCATTCTTTCATTCAGACACCAGCTCCTCCACTTTCTTTTCACTTCTCCTCGAACCTAAAGATAAACAAAGCAGACCAGCATGCAATTTATCACCGCTGTGGGTTAATTCATGAGAACCTTTTATTACACAAGGTTGGGGGGGATGAAAAAGTGTTTGAATGGGATGAAAAAGTGTTTGAATATGCAAGAAGGCGAGAAAGAATGGAAAGGGAATTATAAGAAGGCTCCCTCATTTAATAAAACTATATATATATATATATATATAAACAAACTTATTATGCTGTCAACTATTGAAATTGCTTGACAGTTTACAACATGCTGTGCTATACTTGGGGTGCTGATAAAAGAATAAAAATAACAAAAATCTCATTCATTCAAAGCATTCCATAACCACAGGTGTTAAAGTCTTGGAGAAAAAAATCAATTCAATCTATAGGGCACTAGATTGAGAAAAACAGTAAAGAACTAAACATCCTGGAAAAAGGCAATGGCAATACTCCTATCAACAAAATGGACATGCCCCGTAGCTACCAAGAGTTGAACTCAACTCAAGGCGCTTCACCTCTCTCTTAATTTCTAAGCAGAGATTTTGATTTAAAAATCTCACAAAAATTTAATTACATACCAAAATTTAGGCATGCTTATTTGAAACTAAATCTCTCTTAGTTCACGAACTTTTACTTCCAAATCTTTGGATTAGTGCCAACTTCAAACCCAGCAACTGACAGATTAAAGGCATCTGAAAATACTGGACTGCTCTTCATTCAAGTAACTTCCAACAGAAGGAGGTAGTTGGTAGCTGATTAAAAGCTTGCAGGGTATCTATTCTCTGCATTTATTTTTTGGAGGTGATCTATCCAATTAGTGTTCACTAGAAGCACTAATAATTAAGCTAAAGCTTAAATATTCTGGATACATCATACAAAGGCAAGAAAAGATCCAGCTGTGGAAAAATCAAAGGTAACTGAGAAAGAGGCTCACAGAAGGGAAGGTGGGTAGATAATATCCCTAATGTCACAAGCATGAGCTTACAAGAACTCAACAAAGCAGGTTCTGACAGACATATTTATCGGCGTATAATGCGTACTTTTTTCCCGAAAATTTGGGGCTGAAATCCTAGCTGCGTGTTATATGCTGATATGCCCTGCGGCTTCTCGCCTCAAGCGGCAGGGCTGGGAGAGCAAAGTGCCGGCAGCCGGGAGAACGTTTCTTTTTTGGCAGTCCCGGCAACCAGATGGCTGCAGAGGGAGGCGCAGAGCCCGCACGCGCAGAGCCCGCACTGCAGTGCACCGGCAAGGGGAACAAAGGCTGCCCCACGGCCTTGGGAGCACGGGAGAGTCTGGAGACGAGTTCTGCAGCACTCAGTGTCAGAGCAAAGAGCAGATCTGCAGCGGCTCCTCGGTATGCTAAAACGGGTGGGGGGGCAGGGAGCTGCGCACCACTCATTCCCTGGGCCTCTGACTTTGCAAACCAGCCGCTGTCCTGAGCGCTGCGCCTGGAGGAGGAGGAAGAGTTAAGCACCAGTGTGTGTGTGTGTGTGTACATGTGAGCGTGTGTTTGTGGAGTTTTTATTCCTCCGCTGCTGCTCCTTGATTTTGAGAGACTCCTGAGAGCGGAGCGGGCTTGGGCAGAGTGGGGCGCGTCCCTCCACACCGAGCCTCTGACTTTGCCTGGGCTGAGGGGCCACACAGTCCAGAGAGGTGAATGTTGTGCGCTGTGCCGCCCTGGCGAGGCTGCTGGAGAACGGTCCAATGCAACCGTCAGAGGCCGATCCCCTCACGGGAGAGGGAGGAATAAAAACCGCACAAACGCGCGTGCACACACATACACACGCGAAGCTCACCTCTCCAGACTGCGCGGTCCCTCAGCAAGGGCTGAGTATGGAGGGAGGCGCCCTGCTCTGCCCCAGAGCTCCTGGCTTTCCTGTTCCAAGCCCATTTCTCCTCCGCTCTTGGGAGTCTCTCAAAATCATGGAGCGATGGGAGAGGAATAAAAACCGCACAAACACATGCGCGTGCACACACACACTGGCGCTTAACTCTTCTTCCTCCAGGCGCAGCGTGCTCAGGACAGCAGCTGGTTTGCAAAGTCGGAGGCCAGGGGAATGGGTGGTGCATGGCTCCCTGCCCCCCCCCGTTTTAGAGCAAACCAAGGCGCCACTGTGGATCTGCTCTTTGCTCTTTGCTCTGACACTGATTGCTACAGAACGCCCATCTCCAGACTCTCCTGTGCTCCCAAAGGCGCAGTGCAGCCCTTGGGGGAGGGGGCAGCCCCTCCGCGCCAAAGTTTCTCCCAAAGGGAAGAAGGGAAGAGTGGGCAAGGCCGCAGGGAGCTGGAGGAGAGGCTGCGTCTTCTGCATTCACCGGTCCTGGGGCGATCCGAGAGGGGTCGGGTGCAGCTTTGGGCGGGGGGCCGGGGGCACTGCGCAGCACGCCATGGGCTCTGCACCTCCCTCTGCAGCCATCTGGAGCGGCAGCGCTGGGTTGTGGCGGCTGCCAAAAAAGTGCTCTGACACACTGAGTGCCGGACCACGCGGGCGATGTCACTAAAGACTGCAAACAGAGGAGGCATACCCTAATAATAAATTACTGTACCCCCAATGCACTCGGACCACCAGGGATTTTTAACCCCTACTGGTCCACCAGAGATCTTACCTGCCTGCCTGCTGCAGACAGGTAAGCAGGAAGGGAGGGAATAAGTACCAGTATGGTAATAAAAAAATAACCTTAACAAACAACAAAAAAAGCTAAAAAAAAACAAATGGA